CCCCATCAGCTCTGTCCAGCCGCCACTCCATCAGCTCTAAGGGCAATGCTGCAGACAGAGGTTAAAGAAGTGTGGCTTTAGATCGGGAGTTGGTGGACCACGGCCGGTGGACCCAATCAGCCTACAGCCTGTTTCTGTACAGCCCATGAACCGAGAATGTTTTTTTTCTTTTTCTTTTTACCTCTCTTAATGGGTGACAAAAATAAAAAAGTATTTTGTGACATATAAAAATTACACGAAATTCAAGTCTGAGTGTCCATGCATAAAGATTTCTTGGAACCCCGCCATGCCCTTCCATCGCCACGTTGTCTGTGGCTGTTTTCACACTAGCACAGCAGAGCCGAGTAGCTGTGACAGAGACCATACGGTCCCCAGAGAGGAAAATATTTACTATCTGGACCTCACCGAAAAGTGTTGCCAAAGCCTGTTTTAGATCACGGAAGGGGAGTTCTCTGCCTAACCTGCTCCCAAGATGGCGGTACTTTGCTCTGTGCAATCCTGAGTGTGGCATTGCAGGAACATCAATTCCCAGTGGACCTTCTCCGGAGCCCGGCCAGCCCTGACTCCCCGGTGGCCAACGGACACCGGGCTGGAATGCCCCGTCCAGACACGAGAAGGTTCCTATCGGTGGCTGGAAAGGCCAACACTTGTGCCCAACACCCAGAGCGGGTCCTTCTGTTGCCAGCAGCTGGGCCCTGGACCAGTGGGCTTCTCTGTGTCTCTAACGGCACCCCTTCTCAGACCCAGATCAGGTGCCAGTCACCAGGATAGTCCCATACGTAATTGAATTAGAAGGCAGACCATCTCTGTAATTCGTTTTAAGAGGGCAGGATGCCATGCTGCTGTTCTTGTTCCTCCACCAAGAGGATTACCCAAAGCCCCCAGCCTGAAATCCCAACCTCCGACGTTTCTTGGTTGTTACACAGCAGTGTTCTTACTAACTCATACTTGGTACTGCTGGGGTCTCCTGAGCAAAGGGGCAAATTAGGGACACAAAGGAGACCAGAACGAGATAGTTCCTGAGGACAGAAGAGAAGGCTGAACAAAGTGGTCTTGCAGGAGGGTTCGGGCAGAGGATGGGAGCCTGGCAGAGGGCACAGGACGACACGGTGCTGCGTTAGGACTGAGGACATGGCCAAGCCTGCAAGGGTCTCCAGAGGGGCTCTGGGGACTCTACCTTCAGTCCTGGCGGTGGTATAGTGGGGACAACTGTGATCACTTACCCGGTACCACACGATCTCACGCATGCGACCATCTGTCTTGAAGTTACACTTCAAGGTCACGGCATCACCAGCCACCACGGGTGGGAGAGGTTCAATGTTGACAGTCAGGTAGCCTACAGGAAAAAGAAGAAAGGGGAGGTGAGGGCATGGGAGGATTGGAAGGGCTGGGCTGACCGGGGAGGGGGGGAGGGAGCTGACCCGTCTGCAGGGGTGCTGTTCACACTGGAGCCTGTGTGATCAGTACCCGCCCGGCCTGAATGGAGGTCATTGCTCTCTTCTTCTTTGTCATTGATGTCTCCGTCCTGAGAGCTTGTGGATCTCTCTAGTCCTGAAACACTTCTTGGGATCAATTTTCCCTTGAAAGTAGGACCTGCCGGCAGCTGGAGGTAATGCCTCAATGGACTTCTACAAGATGCCCGGAGAAAAGGTCCTGTGGTCAACCACTATACCTCTTTCCCCCCTTTTGCAGGGTCTTGATATGCATTAGCCAGTTAAGCCTCATGGGAAACAAGCCCGCCGAGAAGCATCTAACCCAGCATTTCCAAACCTATTTGACTACGTGTCTCTTAGCCATCCCTGAAGTCCTCAGCCCCCTGTGCAGTCAGGGTTCCATGGAACCCACATTGGGACATGGTGCCCGAGGTGCCCAGATCTCTCCATTCCCAGCCTTCTAACCAAATCACTCCTGATGAAAGGGGAAGAGCTCCCTGAGGAACTTCTGTTTGCTTCCTGAACCCCCAAACCTCCCCCACCCCCCGCCAAATCTCCCATCTCACACACTTTGCCATCCAAGGGGAGAGTTAGTACCCCCTGGAGGCCATGGTGGGGAGGGGTGGTTATGAGCTGACCACCCTGGGAAGGAGTCCAATCCTCTGCAAGCACCAGGTGATGCGTCTCGCCCACCAGCTGCCCCTGGAGCCCCAGAAGCTAGGACTCTTAACCTGGTAGCCACACCCTGGGGAACACTCCTGTCTCCACACCAAAGTCCGGCTCGGGGAGGCCTCTGACCCTCTCCGCTGCCTCCCAGAGCCCCATCCCCAAGGGCCAAGCCCCATTCCAGCTCACCAGGGGGCCTCATTCTCAGGCCGATCGCCCTGGCCCCTCTGATTGGCTTCCCGCCGGCTGATATCCGGCCATTGATCTAATGCATCAATCCAGTCCAATTGTCTTAATGAGAAAACTAGCCAGGATGGGTTCAGGGATTTCAATTGTGCAGGCAACCTGAGCGGATTGAGCCCAGGGACCTGACCCCTGCCTGCAGCTTAATGGTTACAACACTCCCGGGGGGCCGGGGGGAGGG